CAAAAGCAATAGGATTAGTACATGTAAATTAAAAGAAAACAGACTTTCTGTTAGAAGTAAGCCTAATGTTTCTTATTCTAAAAATAGAGCTAAAAAAGTACTATATAGTAATAAACTTAATGAGATTAAATTAAGTATTACCAAAGAAATCTTTTTATTTTGAAATACTAAATAGGTTTTTAAAAATAATAGATAAGGTTGATAAATGATAGTATTTAATTTGTAAGAAGAATATCACTATGTATTAATAGATAAATAAGCACAACATTTTTTAAACTTTCAAATAAAAGAATAATAGTTTTATTATATAGTACTTCCATTCAGCTTATGCCAGACTTTGTGGATATTTTCAAAGTCAATAAGAGTCTTGATTAGAGCATAAAGACCACAAGACATTTTTGCAAAAATTATATAGACAATATATAAATACTATGCTTTACAAAAAAAACATTGTTGAAGATAAAGAATCATATAATAGATGTTGATTTGAAAAAATATAACTTAGTGAAAGCATTAGACAAAAAATGTTAAGAGCTATCAAAGAGGATAAAGATTTATAGACTAGTAGTAAATATAGAAAAAGGATTAGTGAAGATTCTGAAAAAGAAATTATTGAAAGTTCAAGAAAAATTAATGTCTTTAGACAGTTTTGACAAGAAAGTTAGTAGTGATAGCAGAATGAATTCAGAGCTTATTACAAGCAATTTTATCAGCATAAGTGAAATGCTTGGAATTGTATTTAATAATAGATGCAACAAATTGGAATTATTAAAAATAAAACAAAAAGATGTGCTTAACCAAAAAGACTTAAAAGAATTTAGAATGTTTAAAGAAAACATTATAAAGTAGAATAAAAAACTAGTGTAAAAACTGGCTTAAATAAAAGCAGTTTTTGTAGATATGTTAATAATAGGATAATATAAAATTTATTTAAATTGCAAAGCATCAGAAAATTGGATACATCTTTTCAAAGCAGTAAAAATTATACAGATAAAAAGTTTAACTGCATTGAGAGCTCTACAATCTTTTATAATATAACTAAAGCAATCTTGAATAATTATATATATAGACAACAAAGTAGCTATAAGAATAATTACTCAAGGTAGATCATGTCTGTAATAAAAGAATATAGTAAAGTTTTTTTAAAAAGTTTTGTATAGAGAATAATATATAAGTGCATAAGGTTAGATAGGTTCCAAGTTTAAAGAATCCAGCAGATTATTTTATAAGAATTTGAAATACAGAAGATTAGCTGTTGAACAATTAGATTTTTAAAAGATTGAAATACAAGTAAAGTAAAGTATTAATAGATCATTTTGTGAATTATTTAAAAACAAAAAAGATGCACTTCAATAGCTACTATTTTGTCTAAATTCAAAAGCTATCAATTGTTTTATTCAGAATTGGTCAGGAGAAATAAATTATACATATCCATTTTTTGGCTTAATATACTGAATATTAATGTATAATTAGAAATGCAGAGAACAATTGTTGTTAATTCTGCTAGAATGGATGTTAGTACTATAGTGACCAATATTCTTAGAGATGTTAAAAAAAGTAATAAAGTTACTACCAGCAATAGAGATCATTATTCTAAAATTATTAGAACAAAGAAAGCCATGCAGAAATCCAATATAGAAGCTGTTAATAGCAAGAATGAATTGGTTTAAGAATGGTTAAGTAGAGTAGATAACTTAGCATTTAGGTTGATCACAAAGAATTATAGGTTGAGGTTGAGTAAAACACAACAATTATTTAAAGAATTTTATAAATAAGTAGAAGAAAATACATATTTAGCAAAGATCAAAATAATAAAAATGTTTTTAGAATAATTAAAAATAGCAAAAAAGGTGTCATATATGCAGAACTGTTTAGAATCAATAACAAAATTGTATAAATAAAGAAATTTAAAAATCTAGTAACTAATTTAAGTATAAATAAGATAGTAAGAGAAATTAAATTAAGATTATTAAGTTAACTGAACATGAAATTTGTTTCTATTAAGAGCCTTAAAATATTATCATAATAATCTACTTAAGAAAGCAGATCTAGTAATTTAGTATCAGGATTTAGCTTTAATTGCTTTAAGATTTAAAACAAAATATAAACTAGAAGAATTATACAAGATAAAATTAAATAACTTAAAAAAAAGAACAGATTTAATCTGGATTAGAGTCAGAAAATCAAAGAATGATCTATTTACAAATAGTAAATTTGTGTCAGTAGAATTAATTAAGAGTAGATTTTGTTAAATATAGTTATTAGAAAAATACTTAAACATAAAACCAGAAATGAAGAAAAATAAATTTTGATTTTTATCTAAAAAGTAGAAAAAAATGTTAGTTTTAGCAATTTTGTTAATTATTAAAAGAATGACTAAGCATACAAGAATTAATAGCTATTTTACAACTCATAGCTTATATATTAAAGGTGCAACTATAGCAATAAAAAGTAAAATATCTTTGACTCAAATTAAAATAATTAGAAAATATAATTTGAAGACAATTATTCTATACTTAAAGGCAGTAAAAATAATATAAAAAAGAATATTAATAAAAATAAGGTTTTAAGATTATAGTTTTGGTTTGATCTATTTAATTTATTGTTATCTTAATAGTGATTTATGTTTGTTTGTTATTATTTATAATAAGTATACTTGTATTATATAAGTAAGAAGAAGGCATTCATGCCAATTTATATTAAATTTACAAAAAAGAAAAAAAAAAAAAAAAAAAGAGAGATAGAGAAATGAAAAAAGAAAATGCAATTCAATTCTATTTGTATATTTTGTAATATTATTTTATAAGAAATTGAGTGACAAATATAATACTATAAACAAAGTCATGTAGTAGTCATTTGTTATAAGATTCATATTCTGATTACTGATTTAAGTTATTTGTAATTTATATATAATTAGTAGATTTAAAATTAGGTATATAAATAATTAAAAGAATGAGATAATATTATAACATTTTGATAAGTATAAGGTCATAATTAAAGGTATATAAAAAAGACAATTCTAAGTTTTTTGAGTTACTTTTTCTCTTTGCTACAAGCTCAATGCAAGTTTAGTTATTTGTAAATCCCTTCCATATATTTAAAAAGACAGATTAGACAAGTAAGAACATAGTAGTACAGCTAAACAAGTTGAATACCAAAAATAGTAGAATAGCTCAGATGAACAATCCAGATATCATACAGTGATGTCAGAAAAATAAGTAATATAAAAATGTTATAAAAAAAGTTTAAATTAGGAACAATTCTAGAAAACAGCTAGTAACCACATGATGCAATGAGGCAATAGCCTATTTGTGTATTTTATAGTATTGTTTTATAAAGGATCAAGTGACAAATTATCAAAACATTTAAACTAGTCTTTTTATTATCTTTTAAAAAATATATAATATGATAAAAATATGTTTAGTTATTTTAGAGACCATTTTAAAGTAAGAAAAAGATTTCAACTCTTTTTTTTTTTTATAAAAGAAACAATGTCATAGACAATATTATTTGATAAGTTTAAAATTTATACAATCTTTGCTAACTGCACACCACTTCTTCAAACACTAACAATTTAAATATATCAATTCTTAGTAAATTGTTTCTTTTGTTTTATAATAAAAAAAAATCTAAAAAAAAATAGATCAAATAGACTAACTTTGGTACAAATGTAAGGATTTGTCTCAAAAAAATTTATTATATGATGTGAATCATAACTGTCAATTATATATAATTTTGAAAATTCCAGAGATCTTTGTCAGGAGAATGTATATATGTAAGACATTTAAATTCTAAATATTATAACAATAAGTAACAAAATTTACAGTAAAAGCAAAAATACAAGTAATTACAATTTTTTACAATTTAATTGATCACAATTATTTTTGTATAACAATTATGATAAATGAAAATTGTAATAAAATTAATTTTTTGGCTAAATGCAATTGCAAAAACATGTAATGAAAATTATAAAAAAATGATTGTACCCTGTAGATTACTAATCATAGATATAAAAACTTTGTGAAATACTTTTAAATTTAATTTGCAATGTATTGCATTATGAATAAACATTATCTTAAACGACTTAAATTACAATACAACGTACTCGACGAAATAATCTCAATTTATTATATTTAACAACCTGGGCATATTTTAGTATATTACAATCTATGTTTAAATAATTCCATTCCTATGTAATTTATTTAATTTAGTCAGACTATTTATTAATCGTAGAATTGAAATTAGCAAAACAAGTTCAAAAATATTTATCATTACTTATAATTAATTCATTAATTTATTCGCATAAAAACTATTTATTAATCGTTGGAATCAAAATTGTCACTATTTAGAATTATAAATACTACCATTTATTAATCAGTGGATTTAAATCAGCAAAACAGTTTATGCTACCATTACATATAACCAGGTTAATTTAATAAGAATCATTTTTATATAGACCTATTTCTAAACTTGATTCTGCTTATAAATGTATGAACTTATTATACTTTTATTACAAAACATTCAATGCACATACGTGAAATTTCTTGTTTGAATTAAACACTACGTGTGAAATTAAATTATTCTTTATTATCTTATTTATAATAGGTATATTACATTAATAATTATGATATGTTAATAATAATTTAGTATTAAGTGTATAACTGTATTAAATAGATTTACCTTATTTGTAGTTCTATATAATTATATAAATAAGTTATAAATAAGTTATATTTTTTTTAAAGTTAAATAACTATATATATATATAAATTAAAACTCTATCGGATTTATACAATGTATATAAACTATGAATGAACTCTATATATAAACAACATTTCGATACTCAATGTTCCTATTCACCAAAATATTTACACATCAACCTGGCTTAGCCCAACATCATATACATAGCCTGACTTTAAACCAATATACAACCCGACAGATTCGACAAATAAATACACAGGATTTGGTAAATACGGGATAATATAAATAAAATTAACTGTCCGTTAAGTATTACCCAAATCCCAACGATAAAACGGAATATCCTGATTCTTCCAAAACTGCTTCTAAATTGTTCACTATTATATAGAAGCGAAAATTATATGATTCTCCAAAAAATTATTTCTTCAAGCTTCATTGTACCTTGTTATGCTAATCTTTAGTCTTACTGTTATTCTTTTCCAGATTAACTTATTTCCTTTCAGGTTACGGACAGTAGGTGATCTCTTTCGCGATTGATATAACATAACCTTATTTAATGTTCGTTCCATTAATCCATATCATTTAATATAATGTTGAGATCCATATTGTCGATCTTACTTCCGCATTATCTGCGAGAATATTATTTGAATTCTCGCAGGATGGTGTCACATGTGTATTTTGAGATAGGCGTGCTCCGAATTCTTGGACTGAACTCTTGGTCTGAATTTGAGATTATTTATGGGATCCACTGATAAGGTTGTTAGATGGAACGTGTAAAATCTAGGTTTGCCCTTGAGTCATATAATCTTCAAACCTTGATCCACTCCGAAAATCACCGATAATAGGGTATTTGGACAAACGATCAACATCATTGGGAAAATCGCGAGAACCTTGGCACAGAAATGGTGGGTGATGATTATTTACAAATCGGGCAAATTGTAAATAATATAAATTTCGATATTATTGATAATGCAAAATCTGTAATAAAAATACACCGTTAAACATATATAAGGAGATAATTTATACATCGCGCGCGCGATGTTGTCACATCTGCATTGATATGTTGTAACGTGAAATTAAAACAAAAACAAACCGTTATTTTGAACCTTGCAAGAATTTTCTTTGTAAAACGCGACAAATGACTTCATTAGTAGTTTTTTTGCATTTTTGTTTTCGCGTTACACCTGATCTAATAATTTGATTGGTCAACCAACATTGCATGATGCTAATTTTCCAATTGATTAGTTGCCAACTATAGTTGCAACTAATCAATTTTCCTATCATGTAAATAAATTTGTTGATCGGCTAATCAAAATAAATAAATTAATATGAACTAGCCCGAATAGACAGAAAAACGATTTGGATCACTGCATGATGCGATGAATAAATTCAATCCAGTTCCTATCATTTTTCCGACAAGTTAGCCCACATTAAGTTAGGGTCAATTTTGGTCGTGATTTTATTTTTCGGGAAAACGATAGAGATTCAATTCAATTGTGTAAAAAATGTATATTTTGTAAATGGGCGAAAGTTATAAAAGCCCTTTGAATTGGTTATTGGCAGAAGTAACCTTTCGGGTTTATCAATTACAAAATACAAATAATATTAAATCAAATCCGCCCTTTGAATACTCTCTTTGTGATTTAGGTAATAATATCTAATTATTATCTATTGCATAAAAATTAGAGGAAATAATTAATAATACTTAACTAAATATTCCAACATCTCTACTATGATTAACGATTAAATGACCTGCTCCTCACGTGATTACTTCGTAAATAATAAATTTACGCGTAGCACTAATATTGCTGAGCCAGAGGACCTAAGGGAGAAATTAGTGGTTACAATAAGGGAAATAATGAATCATGCTTCTCGACCAAATCGTATTTTATGCCTCAGCGGGAAAGCCTTGATCACCAAAATCGTTGGGAATTTTTACACAGAAGTTTTGTTTTGTAAACTCTTAACAAACTCTGTAGTGGCTATTACGTTTGTTAATAGATTTTCTTTTGCTTCATTTGTATAATCGGAGATGGTAGCGCATTTTATACATTCTATGATATTTGATCATCTAAGCTGTAGGTAAATAATTTTCAGACCGATTCTAGACTTGCATGCTATAATTTTTTTCTCTACTTATAAGTCTAGTTACAAAATATTATCTGCGATATTTCAATTGGCTTGATCTTGATTATAAAAAATTCTTTTTTTTTTCTACTAACGCTTTATTTAAAATTGTCTTAAACAAATAAAATGCGTAGTTTAATGGAACTCGTCAATACTATCATACCAAGCTACGTATTTTATTTCAAAGTTGTAATATTTTATTGAGTAGATACAATTTTAGGAAAAGACAATACTTGGATATCCTTTAGCTGTTTACATCATATCTTCCACATAGGAAGTATCAAATATTTCTATGTGAAACAATCGTGACTATCTGCTAGTAATACCCAAACTATTTTGGAGCGTCCAAATTTAATATCACATGGTTTCAACAACCCATGTGATGCGAATAATCAATCTCTTTGTTTAAACCATACTGAACTATTCAACTACTCAATATTTTCTCTCCCATCTACTTTAATAGTAAGCTTAAATTGCATATTAGTGCAACTTATGAGAAAAAATAGATAGTATAAAGGTCTGAACTTACATTAATTGCCTATTATTATACTAGTTGATTTGAACTTCCTTTTATTAAATGAATACTATAGACGGGTCTGATCCGCGTGGCTCTAGTTCCAATAAACACAGTAATAATACAATAGTGCTAAATATTTTAGTAAGTCTTGGACTATGACCCTAGCAATACCACCTGCACCAGCAACTCTAATTCTAGGACAACTAAAAATTTAATGCACACCAAATCCATCAAAAATTATGTTGTTATCTTCGGATCAAGACTCTCAAGATAGCGATGTAATTTCTAAAAAGTTGCGATTCTTTGACGCGACCGAAAGAACACAGAAAATAGCAAACTTTTAATTTCTTCTAGAATTTATGAAAACAACTATAATTAGACCTATGTCAAAATTACGAAAGAGTTTATCGTTTAATAGCGAAATTTCGAAAAAAAATTGTATAATTTTATTCGCATATTTCGACATTGTCATTACGACAATATTCCTCGGCAGCAATTTGATTCGTTATACTCACAGGATAAGCAGAATAAATAAAAGGAACCGGTTAAACGTCTAATATCAATATTAGATGCTTATCCAAATCTTCTTTACAAAGAGAAAAGGGGATCTATTAAGAAGGAGTAGTGCAAAACACAATCAAGTTGGTTTAGCCTAAGGATTACAATAAGTAATAAATAAGAATTAAAGATAAAAAAAAGATAATAGCCTGATAGAATTATATGTCTCAACCTAAAAAGCTTTTACACAAGGTATTCGTTCGTGGACCCTGCTAATAGGAGGTTTAATGTATTGTTTCCGCTCGTGACGGTGTATAAAAATTCGCAGGAATGTACGAAAATATCTTAGCATAAGAATTAATTTTGACGCTTTGAATGCCAAAATAGTCTCAATTGTCAAAATTTCTGCTTGGTTGAGATCTATATAAATTTCTGTAAAAATTAATGCCGCGCTGAAGTTTGAAACGGACCCGGAACACTATATGATGAACTTAACGGAGCATGTGCTATCTCCATGATTACGGTGATTAATACAAGTGCCAACGGCCGTCCGACGATCTCCGCTGAAGAGATGTGACAGATCTTAAAGGTGTCTAAGGACCTTCAGGATAGCGGAGGAAGGTAATAGAAAAAAAAACTTAAGCCGTGTAGGACCTACTATCTTTATTCGATCCGCAGTTCCCTAACGTCACATGACCCACCAGCAGGTTATATCTAATATCTAATGTCCTTTTTGTTAATCCTTTTAGTTGGGTTTCCTCAATGTTAACGTCGTTTGTTGACGGATTCGCCTTATCTGGTCGTTCCCGACACTGTGGCTACGCCAGTGGACTGCATTCTTACGTATGAATCTTGTTATTTACTCAAACGGAAAATCCACCGAAGATTATTTCTAATTGTGGTCCTGGCGAAGTTGTTATCACCCAGTGAAACTCGAACTTGCAACCTTGCAATTGTGACCCGGGAGCGCTAACCACTACACTATCGACCCACGGGTCTGAAACGGCTGAAGCTTGAAATTAGGAACCTCAATTTAAAAATATAAACCACCCTAAACCCTAATCTAACTACTAAAAAAAAAAGCTAAAGAAAAATACCAAAAATTTCTAAAAATTTCATATTATAATAATTAAAATTTCAAGCTTCAGCCGCGACAATTAATAAAACGTTTACTTATTTCGACTTTGAAGTCATAGGTTTTGTAAAATTCTAAATGCTTCAAAAATTGAAATTTTCTTATTATACCGATTATGGCATTTCTGCAAAATTTTCTCCGTCTAATTAGTTATGTCAACAATTTAGATAATAAATGTCGCGGTTGAAACTGAAATCGGAGTTTATATTTGAAAATATAAATCTTATGGAAATCCACTTATGCTCTTTTATTATAAACTCTATTTTAAAAAAATAAAAATAAAAAATGCACCAATTTTAAAGATTTCATATTAAATTAAGTCCGATTTCTAGCTTCGGCTATTTCTGGCTCCAGTGTTGACATTAAATTTTCTTCGCCACGGAAAAGTCAAGTGGTAAAGAAACCAGCGTAAATAATGTACAGCGAAATACTTGCTATGGCGTTAAGTGGGATTGATATGCAAGTTGAAAAAGTTAAACCATTAATATAAACCTGTCGAGACGTAATATTTCCTCCGGATGAACCTAATGTCACGCTTGAACAATAGAATCGAGGGCAGAATTTCTGGTGATTATCTTGCAAGATTGCTTGAACAGTATCGTAAGTGAAGGTGGAAGCGATGGCTATAAAAATACGCACCAGGACCCGTGGGTCGTTAGCGAAGTGGTTGCGCTCCCGGGTTCCCAATCGAAGGTCTCCGGTTCGAGTCAAGAACTGTGCCAGGATCACGATTGTGAAGATCAACCATAGTCAGGTGACGCGTAATAAGAACAAGAATTAGGATTCTCGCATCAGGGCATTTACGGTGAGATTCCGGTTGATTAGTACAATATCGAACATTTAACAAAATAAAATATCCAGTACCCCGGAGAACTTACATGTGAGAAGGCCTTACAGGCTCTCAATGTCTGAAAAGGCTGGTGGAGAGACCAAAAGATTGCGTCCTAAGTAGAGATGTGTTTCATGCGTGCGCATGATTGCGGAAACATGCGCATTTTATCCCATCAAGATTTCTCTCCTCTCGATCGGGTTTTCTCTTTTTTTTATCATACGATATCATGCGCATGAAACATTTCGTGCGCATTAATGCGCATGTTATTTTAAAATGCGCATTTTCCCCATCACTAGTCCTGAGGCGATCAGGCCAATAGGGTAAAACCTCCGCACCAGAATGAATGATTTAAAAAAAGGTATATTTACCCAAAACTATAATAGCCAAATACAAAATCCTTCCATTTATTAAAATAGTATCGCTCTTCTTAGTAATGTAATATCTAAATTAAGGTATAAATATTGTAAAAAAAGTAATCCATACATTCGTTAATAATAAATAGGTTGGTTGTATGTCTGAAGCCTATCATATGAGTGTCACTAAAAGAGAACATATACATTTAAATATGGGCTATATTTAAATGTGTATATTTTTTTTTAGCGACATTAATATGATGATTATACTGTAGACGCGTGAATATGTTTTGGTTACATTTATAGATGTAACCCAAACTATTTGGGACATCCCGAACCATGTGATAATTAGTATAGCGTTAGTTCGGCTGCTTTTTTTCTTATTGTCGAAACTATGTAATACTAATTGACATATGATTTGGAACGTCCCAAATAGTTTGGATTACAACATTAAAGCACAAGGATAGACGCGTTCGGAGATATAAATATAATAGTCTAATGAAATGAATCAAAACCGTATCTATTAATGCTTCAATTAGAAATTTAATGTCTCTCATTACATCCATCAATAAAGATACACAATACTAACCTTAAATACAATTTTTTATTCAATGATATTTAAAATATATCATTTCTTTGTTGATTAAGCAAGCTAAAGAGTCACAGCTCTTACGCGTTACACAATGACGTGTACACGCGTGTGAGACTATAATACCAGTCAAACCAATTTCGCACACCATTAATAAGAAAAAGCACTTTGCTACTAAGTTAGGTTAGGTGTTGCTAGTAGGTTATGTTTAGAGGCAAAATTGCGAATTACGGTCGATTTTTGAATTGTTTTTGTTTCATGAACATTTTCCACGTTACACCTAATCTTAACATTTGATTGGCTAGTGAAATTTTTTAGACTGGTATTTTAAATGCTGTTGTACACGCGGTATTGATCGATTAAATAGACAAAAATTTTACTAATAAACTTGTAGCAGTTTATTAAGTAAATCAGTAGAACACATCCTGGACATTTTACTAAAATTTCTAATAAATTAAAAAAGTTTTATACAATAAATATAATGAAGGTACACTATAGTACAACCACCTAATTGAAGAATAAGATCGCGAGATTAGTCAACATAAAAATTAAATCGATTACAATTCTTTTTTTTTAAAAAAAAAAATAAAAAAAAGAAACCCCACCTGTAGCTCATAAATTTGCACATGATATCATTTCATATGTTCTAAAAAAAAATAGTTCCTTGCAAAATTTTGGGTTACACATATGTTTACCACACCATCATCTAATCCTATTTTTAAAATAACGCGTCGTTAAATTGTTTTGATTCACTTTAAGCGTTTCACATTGTGTGAAAATTTAATTTCTTACGTATTGCATGCTATTTTTTTGTACGGCGCTTAGGTTCAATAACTTTCAATCAAGCTAGATTTCAGTATCAAAAAAAAAATATCGTTGAAACTCAAAACTTTGTCTGTTACTGTAAAAATTTCTCGTTTAACACTAAACTTTATATTGAAACGTGACCTCAATCTAGCAACAATTTTTTTTATCCAGAAATTTCCGAAATTAAGCGTGGTAGGATCTTGTGATCATACGGATCTATTATCGAATAATCAAACATGACTTAAGGGGCTTAGACGAACGTTAATAGAAATTCAAGTGGCTGTAATACAGCAAGAAACGGAGTTTGTTTTCAGAGTAAAAGTACGCTAGGCAGTGAAAGTGGGAAAAACAAAAAGCTGAGTTAAGTGAAGGAAAAAAGAAAGAATTTTTTAAAAGGTCGAAGGGTTGTATTTAATTAAGTAAAATAGAATAGGCTTACTCTTTAAAGACTTGACCCTTAAGGAGAATTCGTTAAAACTATTAAACCTTAAGAGTCAGGCTGTGAAAATAATCCGTTAATTAATTAAAGCCCTTTGCGCCCAATATTGGTATTAATCACCCATGTAAAAGGATGGAACCTACAAGTCATAAAATAATCATCTAATAAAATTATCTTTGCATAAACTTCTTAATAAGAAATCTTAATAAATTACCTTAGTCTCTCCTCTCTGGCGGGCTGCATTACTTTTAATTTTACCATTTACTTATTTATCGTCTATTTTCACCCGTAACAGAGATTTTGGATTTTCAATGGTTTACTAACACATGATTTAAGACGGCATGGTCAGACTATTGAAAATCGATAAATTCCTACACATTATGGCAGTTTTTCCTAACTTCTCAGGAACAGTGGTAATATCTTGTGTTAAATCTTGCCCACACTGGTATGAAAAATTTCATATCGATATGAACGAATATAAAAATTGATATATATCTTGTAAAAAAAGCGATTGAACCCTTACATTAATGCATAATACTTACCTAATCTTGAATCTATTTTCTCGTTCTCAATTTTAGAATATATTGTTGATTGAAAATATAAAGATTCCAGGTAGAAGTCTGTCTTGCTATTTTGGTAAATTAAGAATCCATTATTTGAAAAGTTTGAAGTCTGCTTATTTTTATACTCGTTAATTAATATGAAAAATTCATATAAATATTCTTGATGTATTTAGTCATCAACCATGTAAACGACAGCATATTGCATAATCTGACAGTATATGAGTACATGTAATTCCTCTTGCTTAATGAGAATAATTTTGAAGGTTTACCGAAAATATGTCAGGTAATGAAATACTTTCGGTAAAATCCACTTTGTCGAAGTTAAAAATGCAAAAAAAAACAAAAAAAAAAAAAATTTATCCAAAAATAAATTGGTCCTATTTTTGGCGGTTAACCTAATGATTCTATTTCTTATAGTATGTATTGCGCCTGAATGAGTGCTATAAATTGTAGTATTCGTTTAAGCTTAAAGTCATTAACGCATTCTGGTTATGCGATAAGCACTTGCATAATGAAAATAGAAGTCGTTATTATAATGTTTATATATCAAGAATGACTGAACTGTTCTCTACAATTTTAGCTCAAACGAATAAACGAACATCAAGGTTCATTACATCTTTTAAGCTCAAAACAAATAAAAATGCGTCAGCCATCCTTGAGGTATTCTTAAGAAATTTAATGACTTTTGAATGACCTACAGTGCGGTGTTACCAGAATTCGTATAATTAAAATTGGATGTAACTTGAACTGTTTGTGTCTCGAAAATCCGGTCGGAAAACTGTTTCAAAGTTCTAAATATATGCTGAATTTCAGTTTCCATCATGTATAGGAGAACAACTAATTTCATTTCGGTAATTTGTGCTTAAATGAATCGCACTGTTCGTGGTATCCAGTGATGTAAAAATAGAATGTACATTCTCGAATTATAAAGCATAATTCGTACAAATAATTACGCGTCTTTGCACTGTCATATAATAAAAACCGGTATTGTTAGGGATAGAAATAATAAAATAAAAATTGTGACTGTTGTAGACAATGAATACATATGAACTTAGACAACAGACATTCGTAGGAGATAGCTAAAGCCAGGCACATTCTAAATTTCCAAATTTTACTAAAATCGATTGATATTAGGGTTATAATTAGATTAAAGATAGAAAAGATGGTTTACACGTAGTAAAATTGCATTTCTGACACTTTAACTTAGTGAACCAAGACTAATTTAGATAACTGTTTTCTATATTTTTTGCGTATTTTCTTTGTCGTCTCGCTTTGTTATTCGTAGCCAAAACAAATAGATGCATGAACATATAAAAATCTTGTAGTTCTTTCTAATAATGGATGGTTTTGATATTTAGAGAATTAGACCTTTACCTCTAATAATTGACCTTTGACATTGATCAATGTTGCTTCGATTTTATAAGTAGGATCCATTCGTTATAAGATGAGTGCAAATTATGCCTGACTCGCCAATATATGCACACCTATCTTACGTTCACCGTCGAAGCGTGTACGTACGTTGTTTTCTAATGCTAAAAAAATCGTTAACCGAGTTCAATTTTAATTCAGCTGACATTAATATCGTTCTCAATAATTCTAGTCAATAATCATAATTCGGCTCAGAAATATGTCAACTTTTTAAACGATTCAAATCTGTTTTCTAAATTTTCTTTTTTAAGATCAAAATAAAAAACATGCCCGAAATTAATGTGTAATTTTGATGATTATCTGCCTAAATTGCCTTAATGCAGGCCAAGCTGTTGCGCATTCTTTGTATAGAAGTTAGATTTAATCTATTGAAACTAAACTTCGTGTGAACGCGTATTGCTCTCCTAGTTTATATTTAAAAAACTATAAAAAAAAAAGAACATATTATTAATCAATAGATAAGTATACATACAAATATTTCGTGCAAAAAAATTCGTAAGAAAATTGTTTTAGAACCAAAGTTAAAATAGCCGGCTCCAGAAGTTGTTTACCACGGTCGTACCTGGGTTATATCACCCCTTTTTCTTTATATGTTTTTGAATTTTTTGGAGATATAACTAAGGTTGAGAAATGACTCTATATATAAAACATATAAAAAAAGGAAATTTATTCTGTCAAAATATGGGGATATAACTAAGGCAACAATAAGAGGGGATATATCACCTTTCATATCTTTCTCTCAATTTTGATAATAAAGTGCATCACTGAGTGCGTTTTAAATTATAAATCGTATATAAGCATCATTAATATTTCTAAACTTATAATTTAAATCCACAATTATAAAATATTAATCATGCAACTTTTAATATCACAGAAATTTGCCTTGACAGTTATTAGCCTCCAATTATTTCTGCCGAATAAATTTGATGATATTTATCGTTGCATGATCAAAGTCGATGTTACCGTGAAATTTATGATCATTGCTTTATAACAATTATAGCATAATTATAGTTAAGCTTTCCAGTGTTCGAACGATAAATTGATTATAATTCTTTCGTATTTCCAAACATAACCACTGTAAATTGATATGTAAAAAGGCTCATTAATTTCTTCCTTAGACATTACATGGCCACCGTTAATGCAGCCTTAAAAAGAAATTAATACTTTAATTTTTATCGATAAATTTGATTTAGTAGAAAAAAAATTTAAATCATACGTTTCTTTGACTGTTATATCACTAAAATTTCTTTAAAATTCGCGAAATATGAGTCAATAACCACCAATCATAATAATAAATGGATAAATTTACTATAATGTTGGCCTTTTTTGGAATTTGAAATTTACTCTAGATGTCGGCCTTTTTTTGAATTTGGAGCTTCCCTAAAGTTACCCTATTTTTCTACTAAGTAAACCTCTTTTGTGTTTCTAATAAAAGTCGTGGATCATTGAATACGAAGATTTTAATTTTTGCTCTACAGAGAGACCTACTTAAATGCATATCGAATCCATAAACTAGTTAAAAACTTACAGTACAAATAATATAACCTAATTACTAGATAATATATATAGTTTAATATAATTATTAGTAAATATATTTAAATACATATACTATCCAGAAATTATTAGTTGTATTATATATTTAGTTAAACCATAATTTTTTTACTATTTAGTCAGAAATGTGCACTCAGAGAAGGTATGTATTTATAGAGCAAAATAAATAGTGCTATTATAAGCTGGGATCAGACTATATACCGCGCACTTAGAGAAATTTTATATAGGGTGTGCATTTATGAAGTGCACTTAGGGCGTCCTCTGTTTATAAAGCAGACACATATAGTCACGAATCATATTTCGCGATTACTAGGCTAATTTTGGCGTTTTTACTACTGATTCCTTGCTTCTGTGACTTTATTCAGAGGTACATAAGAGGTTTGTTTAATAAAAAAAAACATAAATTACCTTAGAGAAACTCCAAAATCCATTAAAAAGGAGTAACCACAACAATTAGGCATAAATTTTTTAAAACATCTAAAACATATATGTCTTCCTTCAGTGTATTATCTTGAACTCATACATGGGAATCCCAAATCCCGGAGAACGACCAGTAAGATTCTTTTAAATTTAGTTTTAGACGTTGCTTAAAAAAAAAACCATAGTAACTTTCTTTTTTTAACTTTACGAGGATTAATCGCAGAGAAATCTTTATTAACGTTTAAAAAAAATTTGCTGCTGGTTTTTGTAGATATCTAAACCTTAAGTGAAACTTCGTCGGATATATTAGCGGCGTAACCAAAATTCAACAGATCGGCCCGAATTATGGGTCGAATTTCATCTGATTTAGGCCGGCATTAAGAAATAACAACAGCTAAGTTCATAACCAGAGGTTCGTCTGATTTGCTAATAAATTCAATTAAATTTTACATTATTTATACTGTTTAGAGTACTTTTTTAAAAAAAACCGAAAATCAACCATAATAAAATAAATAAAAAAAACTATATGGAGGGTTCATTAAAGTGGTAGGACTCATAGTCGAAAATAAAAAAAATTAGCTTAGTATTAAGTTGGTTTTGAGAAGTTATTACTATGCTAACTTTTTTAAACTGACGAGAATTAGATCTTATTTTTGGCTATGGAGTTCTACAGCTCTAATAAAACCTTCCATATGGGTTTTTTTTTTTTTTTTTTTAATTTCATTATGATTAATTTTCATTTTTTTGAAAAGTACTCAATAATGTAAAATTAAATTGAATTTATTAGCCAATCAAACTTCTGCCTATGACAGCAATGTAAATTACGGAAAAATTATCATCTGGGCAGCTTTAAAATTTTGGCAAAATTAATCAACACCGGCACATTCCGACCCATAATCAGGCCGATCTGTTGAATATTGGTTGCGCTGCTAATCTATCCTATCCAGCTTTGTCGATCTTTTTTTTTTGTTTTTACTTCAGAATTCCGTTATATAATACCGACACACAAAATACCAAAGGTCTGAGTCAAAATCTCGACTAACAGAATCCTAAAAAACAATATCTCGACAAAAATTGCAATTGATGCCATGATTATGACCTTGTCGGAATTTTGTCTCCGAAACCCGACATCCATAAACCCGATAATAAAATCCCAATACTATCAAAATCCCTATAATATTACAGACGTTCTCTTAAGTCTGGGACAACTGATAAAAAATTGATGAGCCGAATTCGATAAGGTGTTATCAGAATTAGATTTTTGGTATTACAGTAATTCTACAGAAGAGACCGTTGATGTTATACAACTAACCGACTGGTGAGCAACACCTAAAATAATTGATCTACAATGCCAGACCATTCCACTAGTACATGTTACGATTATAATCCAACACCTGTATTATTATAATAAAACAGGTGTTGGATTATAATCGTAACATGTACTAGTGGAATGGTCTGGCATTGTAGATCAATTATTTTAGGTGTTACTCACCAGTCGGTTTAGTTGTATCTCTGCTGTTCAATAATCCAATAACATCGGATTCAAAAACTTATCGAATTCGCAGAATTTGAGATCTTTGGATTTTGGTAGTATCGGAATTTTGTGCGAGGTAAATTCGGTTTAGGTTTTAGGGTGTTGGGTTTTAATTATATAGAGATGTACCATCACACACTTATCAGTGTCAGGTGCTAATTGTTACATGACTAATGATATGAGAATCACAACGGATGTCAATAATTATCTAAGTTAAAATATTTGCTGAACTGATAGGTGCGTGATGGTACATCTCTAATTATATAATTACGACTGTTCTCATAAATTCTGGAACAACTGATAAAAAATCGTTCGGCTGAATTCGATAAGTTTTTGAATTCGGTGCTATCGGAATTGGATTTTCAGCATTACAGTAATCCGATAACATTGAATTCAAAAACTTATCGAATTCGCCGATCAATTTTTATTTGTTGTCCCAGAATTTACGAGAACAGCCATAAAACCAAATAAAAAATTTTCATCAAATTTGGCTGGTCTAGGGGTGTGGTATGGCCAATTATTTGTTATAATCAATTTCCTAAATTTCGGAATGACTTTTCTTTGAGTTATTAGTTAAAGTTGTTTAGAATTATCCTATTCACACTGTATTATGAGCAAAAGGCAAGACATCTCCATAATTTAGAAATTTAAAGTGTTATGAATTTTGGCTGGTTATAACCGGTCAGTGACCGACCGGTAACCAATGACTAATTTTGAAAATTTTGGATTTCAGTGAAGATTTCTTGCTTTTTGTTTATAAGACAGTGCGAGCAAAATTAATCCATAAAGAAAAAAACATCTTAAAATTTAAGAAAATCGATTGCAAGTGACTGTGAATAATTTTAACTAAACTCATCCTTAGTCTGGACGAAAGTTCCGCTTATCGCTGTTTGCAAATTAGTGCAACAAATTATTGTTTTGAATCCTATTAATTCTATATATTGCCATTATTTTGACAATGGTAATATGCAGGATTCATAAAAGTTCACAAAATCATTTGGCGCAATTCTGTACATTACAATTGTTTTAATAATATGCAGAATTCATAGGATTTAAAACGATCATTTGTCGCACTAATTTTCAAGAGCGGTAATGTTTGATAGCTATAAAAAAAACGATTTTTTTGAAATGAAGATTTCTCGTCAACTACCTGATCTAATTCGATAGAAAAATTTTTGGTTCTAATTGTTTTTAAGTTAATAGAATTAAATTTCATTGAATTTGATGAGATTACCATTGAAGTTTAAAGTTGAAAAAAAATTTTCAACGAATGAAATAAATTTATTTTACCCGAAAATTTCTCAATGATAAACTGACTGAATTCGATGGAAATTTTTTTATTTTAATTCTATTAGCTTATAGAACTAAAATGAAAAGAATGTTACAAAATTTAATTGAGTTTAAATTTTAAAGGTCAATTGTCTCTGATGGATTCCGACCCGAATTTTTGGGGATTCATGTGTATGTTTATGCAGTGAATGTCGAACTTCCCCACCCAGTGTGACCGATAATTTGTTCCATGAATCTCACTTCTATATTTGTCTTGTCATTAGGATGTTATTTACCTTCCATCTTTGTATCGGCATAGCCATCTTTAATCTAACCTTTAATAGCATTAAGCATTATTCTGTGTTTGATGATCAAAATTATGATTTTTGTGCATTTATAAAATAAGTATCAAAAACTTGGTATGGCAATTTTCCATCTATAACTCCCCTGAAAAATTTGATCTGTGACATGACATGCATAACCAGATTTCTGGGGCTGATACCATTAATCGAACACATGTAGCTCCATGTCACAGACAATGTTTCATGTCCGTGATGTCCTATATAACATTGTTTATTGAACAAGCTAATTGGCTAACAAGCCGCTCTTATTATAATTTTAATTGTCTGGGATGTCAATGTTTTGGCAGACATGTCCGGGACGTCCCACGACAACACTGAGGATGGGTACCTATGTTGGATATTAGCGGAATTATACCGATTTTAGTCTGACACAGATTTTAATTTGACGCACAGTATATATAAAGGCGAGCTCTCGCACTTAATTCATTATCTAATAAATGCATTCTGGATTCGTGTCTAAGTAAATCTACGTTCTTTTCAATAAAAATGCCAAATGACCATAAAATACGAGGTTCCTAATTTATCGCATCATTTACGTCAACCATAGGACATCATTGTTGAAAGCTTACACATACAATGGTGACACCAGAAAGTTTTGCGGCTCAAACGTAGTACAGCATTCTATTTCTTAAAGTGCCAATAAATAGGATTTATCCATATGTAGTAAAAAGATTCAACAAAGCTTACTTTCAAAGGACAGATTAGAGCCCAAAGTCGTAAAATGTTGTTGCTAATCCCCGATTAAATAAATAGTTTAAACCCGCACTCCATAGTAGAGACCCGTGACATTATCTTTCCGTGCCTCGATCGAAGTCTCCATTGTTAAGGTTTAGAGCAAGTGGTGCTGTCCATTAATAGGGTCATAAAGTGAGTAGTCTTCAGTGTAATGATTATAACGTTATAGTTTGAGTCAGGGTACAAAAGATCAATTACGATTAATTTTATTATATGAGCAACTTATCCTTTGAAAAATCATCAGTGATTACAATTTCTGATTGTTATGTCTTGATTACGTCTATTGATATTTTATTTTCCTTTTGTACTAGAAGACTGTTATCAATGTTGAATCTCTTGGCGGTGCCCATATGTATAAACAATTAACATAATCATTTTCAGCTAATGGCGAAATAATTGTAATTATCACAATTGCATCTGCAACATGCGGTGATAAACGTTGTATGTGACAAATAATCAATTGTATCCCGAAATAACGTCCCGGGGCGTGGGTTAAAATTTTGGCCAGAATTAAGCTTAATTTGGCCTAAATTAAGCTTAATTCGGGCCAAAATTTTAACCTACACCCCGGGCGTTATTTCGAGATAATACGTAAATGATCATCACACCCAAAATTACGATACGTAATTGACTTATTGTGACTATGCCACAGATCAATTCATTGAATTTACTATTCGATAGACCTGGTTTGGGTGATCCTCGCTTTACTCGTCGAAGTCCCGACGACACTTTGCGCATACTGTGTACTAGGAATAGGAACCGCCTGAGATTTTTCTAATGGTTTGACCTTAATAAACGTTAATTCATTAATATAATACTCGCTTACAACCAGTGTATTTTAGTCTGGATCTAGGAATAATTTTTAAGTTCCAATCCTCAGTACACTGTACATAAGAAAATTTTGTCCATTTAAAAATACTCGGATTGCTAAAAAAAAAAACCGTACGTACCATATAAATGACACCTCTCGAATAGTAGGGATGTTAAAACTGGTTAGTTTTATTATACAAACTGGCCAGTTAAACAGCTAGTAACGTATAAATTGTATTGTAAAATACAAAAATGGTCAGACTACTTAACATCACTATCAAATGTAGAGTTCCAATCCGTCATCTATTTATTCATATCTGAATTTATCCGGATATCAATAGTAAACCTGATATCTGATAGATAAATAGATAAACATATAATGGATTGGAACTAATAGCACATCCCTAATAACAATAATGCTATTATAACATCGCTAATAGGCCATATTAAGTTCACTAGTCAAATCAAAAATTCGGCATACCGTTCGACTGCCACTATGCTGTCATCCAACATGCCATTCGAGCAATAATCGGTAAATATTAGACAAAACATGTCAAATTTTGTCGAATGTTTGTCGAATGGCGTGTCTAATGATAGCCGAGGTAGTCGAATGAGTCAATTTTTTTTACAGTGGTTGGTAGTACGAATTTTAATGTTACACTGGGAATTGATTTGAATTATCGGAATACTTACTTTTAGTCTTTTGATTATAATGAATTCTTGGAACATTAAACATTTAGAATTTCGCACATCGGTTTTCATAATGGACCGGTTATGGATATCGCAATTTGGTGAACTATTCGAGGAGTCGAAGTTTATGTATAAACAGCTTATAAGTAATGCTAATCAATTTATCGTACCTGTGATAACGCTTTGGACCAATTTTTGTGGACCGGCAAATTACTGGTATCAGCAGCATCAAATTCGCGACTGAATTCGCTTCAATTTTAAAAGGTTTTAAATTAAATTCGGTCTACTAGTGATCCCTGTATGGTTTCAGAATGTGACGGAAATTTCCTGCAGATATCTTGCAATTGGTCCTATTACAAACTTTCGAAAAATGTTAAATAAATATTGGTGCCTTAATTCAAGGAAAACCCATGTTAAAGAAATTTTTGGAAACCATTATAATGTCTGTGTGTATGCTGTTCGACTTTTTATCATATAAATAAACGTATTGCTTCATTTGTTATTACCCAAGTTAAATCGAGCGTGATATTTCTCTTCATAGTGGTGATAATAGTAGCCATTTATATTATATACTTTTTCGCGAATTTAAATTATTATAATGTTCTTGGAATTTGTAACTATTCAAAAGTTAAATTGAACCTAACATTAATGCTAAACGACAACATTACCTTTTATCATTACTATCTCCTTATCTCTACTAGTCAAGTAATAATATATTTAACGATATTCTTATTGATTATTTTATTAATTAGACAAGTTAAATTGGTAGATGTGAAATATAGGAAAAGATGACTTAACATAATCCTAAAATTGATGGAAAGCTTATTAGTTAATTCAACGCATCAAGTACCCCAGTAGCACCGACAGATTTTCATAATTTTACAAGATCAGGTTTAACGTGAAAAGCAGGCACTTTTTTTTAAAAAACCCCAAATTTCGTCTATGTTACCACCTAATGCGCACTCATAAAAAAATTTCCTTGCAAAATTTTAATATAAGAGTAGGTCTAGTTACGACCGTAAACCTAGTCTTAAGATGATGTTTTTTGATTTTAAAAAAATTGTGCATCGATAGAACTACCTATAGTACCCAGTGTGACAAATAATATAGAAATTTTTATGCAAATATTATCATTAAACAAAGTAAATAAATAAATAAAGTTCTAAGCTTTTATGTGAATATACCTGAAATCTTTAATTTTTGAATCATAATTCCCACCAATTGCACGCTGGTCTTTTCATGTGGTTATTATTTCGGATGAGCAGTGGTCTGTAAACTACGATAGAAATTTTTTTAATTCTAAGTTAAAAAAGATCGAATTTAGTTAGTTATTACAACATCCTCGTTTGAACGAGTCTAGAGTGGTAAATACTAACTAAATCTGATAATAAAATATTTGGATTTAATAATAGAAAATATAGAATACAAAGTTATAGAACGCTTAATCATTAATTGAATTTTTCATAAACTTAGCAAAGCAAACTACAACCACCCAATAGTCACGTGATTGGTCAATCAAATACTTTGCAAATGATGAATTCCTTGAATAGTAAGTTTTGCCACAGGATATTCTAGTGATAAAGTTTCAATATCGCCCCGTAAAACCACATTCTGTCAGTCAGTTATTCAAAATGGATTAAAGCCTGCTTACTTAAGAATTCCAGTAATAATAGCAATCAGAAAAGGTTTAACCATTTTTTCACAGATTTAAAACAGGTTATTATTAAAGTCCGAATAGCTAAATTTGGATTTATACTCATCATTTGCTTTAATTACGTAATAAAAACTTTTGCCATCCTTGCTTTCAGCCAACCCATGTGAATAGTGTCATATACTCTTCTCGGTATAAGTTACTTGACCTCCAATCGACACACATCTACTTTCATAAATTCTGTGAAAGTTAAAAAATTTCCGATACAAAATCGATAAGTTACCAAGCGGAATTACATAAGCAGAAATTAGAAACCTATCAATTCGTTCATTACAATTTTTTCATATCTTTCAGAATTTATGAAAACGGATGTAGTCGTAGATTTTTTTAGGAGGTGGGTTCACCGAGACTTTCAATATACTACTAGCCACGTACTTGCGTAACTAATACGTTGTTATGTTAGGCATCATGTAAACACGTATTTTAATTGATAAAAATACAAATTTACATAAATAAAAATTTTGAAAGGATAAAATTTTTGCTCAATTTGTTTTGCACCGTAACCAAAATATGCAAATTATCTGAAAACATATGAAATCTCTTAAAACTCTTCATGCGTAGTCTAGCATATTTTAATGTTCAGAATGCCCTTTCATCGTTAAAATCCCGCTTATCTTAAATTTTCATATTTAGTGCTTCTTTGATTGATTATATACAAAAACGAGATTCTAAAATAAAATTTTCTCGGGAATAATAAATATAATTGCCTAAAGTTACAGTTCTTTTAGAAAAAAAAACACCAATAATCCAAAGCAAATCGAAAACACTCACAATACAGGTTAATGAGCCAAACCTAACATGCCTTACAAAGCTTACAGTTTCTTGCACAACAATTTCGCCAACCACAACGCTGATAAATTTGTATATCGGTCTGGGCAGTAAAACTCCAGTGCAATGTGACTAATCACTTATAAGCAGTACTGGTAGCGATGGGCAATGCGCTGGATTCATCACGTGATGTTCTGGATAATTCTGGCCAATGCCATAATTCCGGCCGAAACTTATAGTAATCTTGGTAACAATCCGCGAATCCCGCGCGGGATTTTTGGCAAAACAGTGATTTGCCCATCTCTAAGTACTGGTGAATACTCAAGCGACCAAACTGACAAATGACTACAGTAAGTCTCCACATAAATGACTGGTACGTTTAGTGATGCGTCATTTATATGATACCCGAATTATTTTCGCCTACAGTGGGTACGTTACATTCCTCCAATTAAACTTTTATTATACCCGAGTATAGTAACTGGAGAATTTGTTACGTATAAGTTGTACATAATTCTGGTCAATGGATCGGGATCTCGTACATTTCGCCAATCTAATATGGATATAAATTCCAGTGAATTTTTTATATGGCGATTTATGGTAGTTATGGCCTAAATTATTTAGAAAGTAATTTAGAATATGTTACCAGATCATCATTGGATACAAGAAAAAATCGATTTCATAAAAATGCAATTTTATCATTTAAGGCCACCCAAATTAATTCGGTGGTTTACATTACATCTCCACTTCAAAGGGTTTTCAAGGTGTTCACAAAGTAAAATTTTCGAAAATTTTTTTCAAAAAAAATTTTCCAAAATGTTCAGTTCAATATAAAATTTTTCCGAAATGATACATAATCCTTATGTTATTTACTAAAATTGTTTTTTACTATGAGGGAGGGGGGAAGGGCGGGGGTAATGTAAACCACTGAATTAAATTGGGGTGGCTTAATAGACATACGTGCCTAAGTTATTCTGAATAATATATTACATGATCCATGTGTTTTAAATAATTTTACGCTTTAAATCTGCATGAAATTTTTCAGTACAACGTAAAATGAAAAATTAGTAAATGAAATGTTAATTAAATTACTTGAAATTTTTATCAAGCGCGTAGTTTGTATCCTAAATAACTTAAAGCAGAGTATCGATTAACTTAGTAAAATTTGACTTTAGTATATAGTTACTATTATCAATTAAAAATAATAGTGTTTGACAAATAAAATTATTTCATGCACGTATAAAAATGACCTAAATGACCTTAATAACCCGACGACCGGGTCATTGTTTGATGGTAAGATAAATTTGTCATCATTGCTTATAGTTAATTATGTAATTTTTTTTTTTTTTAATGTATAAAATGTCAATTAGAAATATTTACGCACCAAGTGAAAATGTTTTCCATTTAATAGTGTTACAATAATTTGTGGGGGACATGCAGGGTCGCACGGTCATCAGGGTTCGATCGTAATTAATTTACCGAATTTGGATGGTTTCACAAAAAAAGCTTAAATCGATATATTTAAGCAGGAAAGAGAGGAATTTTAATCGTGTGAAACTGTTGGAATTTCAATCGAGGGTATGTTTCATCGTAACTGGATAGTGCCTGAACGATATACTTGTTCTGTGCTAAATTAGTATTAAATATGTTATAAAAATCAGCATATAATGCACTGATTGATAAATTAAAATCACATGGGATCTTTGCTAACAAAACCACCCTTCGAGAATTTCTGATCGGAAAAACTTAGGCTAGAGTACCACTTCTTACTTATATGTAAATCATATTTTACCTTTATTGAATAGACAGACTATTTAATTAACTATTGCATCAATGAAGGCAAAAGACAATTTACATATAAATAAAAACTGGTACTCTAGCCAAAGTTTTTCCGAATCAGAATTTAAATGCTTATAGTCGTTTCAAAGTGTTCATTGAAGCCTTAACTCGAATTGAAGTATCCAGAAACTCGAAATCTTGAACCTTTTTAATTACAGAGAGATCGGAATTAAAAATTAGTCTCCCAAATTTTTTTAACTAACAAAAAGATTATACCGAGTGTTTCAAAAGTTCCACCAAAAGTCACTTTTTTTTAAGTGACCTCATATATAGAGTTACAATGATTATATAAATATTTATATTTGCATAAATAATCTATATGTGAGGTCACTTAAACAACGGGAACCTTTGAAACACCCAGTATAATCAATTAGCTGATTAATCAATATTAAATTAGAAATCATTCAACTAACAAATTGTTGCTTTTAATTGATCGATCAGATAACTGATTATATAATAGGAAGTGCGTTTATTGCGTAATTTCTTTTTTATTAGAATACCAAATTCAACCAGCTGACTAGTGGATTAAAAAAATTTCGGCTAAAAAACAAATGGCAGTGCACGATGACTAAGATAAATAAATACCTTATTAAATTTGACGCCAGTTAGGCGTTTAATATTTGTGATAATAACTTTTAGGCAACATAATCGGGGGATTGTGGTGAGTTTACCAACTGGGAAGGATCTACTTTTATGAGTAGTCAAAAATAAGCCATGGTGTGATTGCTTTT